TACAGATAGAGGTGCTGGATTGACTTGGTTTTGACAAAATGCATATGGTTTTTGTACATGCCCAATTACTTAAATCTTTCATGTATTGTTTCTAGCTTCATTGATAATATGAAAGGTTGTGATCTGAATCTTATTATCTTTCTTTCCTCTCAATTGCTTTCCCTTTTCCTGATATACATTAGAGGATTATGGTTGTTTGTTGAAAACAAGTCTACTTTTATCACAGTTGTAATAGTTCTCTGGAGAAAAATCAGTTAGTTGTTCTGTTAAGTGTTTTTGCTATGCCAGTAGAGCAGTCTGATCAACTTCACCAGACTGACCATGTGTATGTAAACGACTGAATTTACTAGTATGTCAATTTTTAAAGCAGTTTAACCATCCATTTGAGATCTCAAACCTATCATAAGGTTCATAAACCTCTATTCTTTCTAGCTTTTCTCTAATGATTTGTATTTGGGCTTGAATAATATCATCAGTGACCAGAACCTTTGCATATTCAGCAGCATCAATCCATAATACTAGAAAGTGCTTAAGAAATAGGTATATACCAGCTCACTCCTTCTGCATATTTCCTGTCATTTCTGTTATCTATTATCAAATTTATTAGACTTATATAACTTATATACACTTTATATTCTGATTCTATAGTAAAACTTTACCAGCAGGTAGTTCTTTCTTAATCTTTCTCTCCAGCCTCTTAGATGGTCAGAAAGGTTTGAGGTTGCGAGTGGTTGTCCATCTAGGCATTGGAGACAGTCATCAAGAAAGCCAAAGTCTACTAACTTCAAATGAGGATGCTTTGTACAAAGGCAACAAAGTTTGTATTTCTGCAAAGCTGTTAAGCCAGCTTTCTTGGTTGGATTGATCGTTGGCATAATTATAAGAGGTTGTATGTAGGGTTTGGATGTCGCTTCTTACATTGTTCTAACCGTTCTACTTTATAGAGTTTCATCTTCCTTACTTTCTCTATCTTGAGCGTCTTCTCAGTTTTTCATTCTGATACCTTACTAGTCTGACCTTCCTGCATTCTTTCCTATTTTGGTATAGTCTATTCTCATAATAGTTATAGTATCCAGTTCAGTGGAATAGAATTCTGTAAGGATAAGGGGTTAAAATTTTCCAAATCTCATATGGATCTGAAAACCCCCTTTTCCGGTTCAATGGGGGATTTCTGAGAGAAACTGTGGCAGCCAGCAATGCTGTCCAGGCCAGTCGGGTATCTGGCTCAGCGAGATCCGGGATAGCGGGGTGCAACTGTACTTGTGTTGTACGGTACTGTACAGTACCTGTACCATACTGTAGAGGTGTTGGCATGGCGTCATGGCTCTCCACCGGGCCGTAGACTACCGTATTCGCCCTTTCCACGTGTGAGCGAGTTTCCCCCAGTTCTATCTATGGGTACCGGTAGTCCAGATTATCGGTGCGGTTGTGGAAGCAAAAAGAGAAAAAAAGAAGGAAAAAAAAAAGAGAGGGGAATCTTATTCTGCCATTAGGTATAATAATTATGATATCTATCATATTATAATACTCTGGTATGGTACTGTACTTTCACAGCCGCGTTGAAGTACTGTACAGTACACAGAGCCACAAATCTTAAGGACGCACTCCGATACACCTACCATACAAGTACGATATAGTACAGCAAGTTACAAAAAATAAGCATGTGCCGTATGGTACCATATGAGATTCGTCATCACCATCAGATTCTATCTATCTGACAAATAAACCCCTTGAACCCCCCCCCCCACACTATATACATCCTAAAATCCCTTATACCCCACTTATCTCCGCAACCTCTACCCAATCTCCGGATCCCAGATAAGACAAAACGAGACAAGACAAGACAAAGGTCCCGAGAGGGAATTACCATTTTCCCGACGTGGATGAGATCAGCTCGTGGAATGTACTCGTATAGTATAGTACTTATCGGATCTTATAATTAACCGGTATTCTCACTTCCATGAACCTACTGTACCGTATCATGCTGAACCCCCCCCCCCGGCGCAATGTGGAGATTAGAGGACTCTCGGAGATAGTGGATTTTACGGTAGATTTGGTTCACTTCCCTGACTGAGATTGTGCTGTACTGTACTGTACTGTACTGTATTGTACATAATATGCCGGCATAATGGATGGAATTATTGTCTTTGTCGAAAGTTTCCACCCCCCCACCACCTCCACGATACGGGACTGTAGAGTATAATATAGTACTCGGGAGAAAGAAGAGGGAGATCTTGGCACTGCTCAATTGGCTTGCAGGTAGACTATGCTATACTATACTACCTCACGTCCCTATCGGAAAATTGAAAAGTAAACAAGTCGGTGGTATCCTTTCTTTCCTTTCTTTTCATCTACGATATCATAATTGTGTGAATAAATCATGTTTCCTGGAAAATCGGGTGGGAGGAGGAGGAGGAGGAGGAAGAGCTGGAGGGGGGTGGTAAGGAGCACAAAGTTAAGTCAAGTTACTCTATGAGTATCTATCCCGTTACGCGTTATCGTAATATAATATCACCGCATCTCGAAATCGTACCCATCCCATCTACAATAGGTCTGAGCCGTCAAACAAAGTCAATTGACATCAGAGACTTTGGGATTTCGCATCCATCCAGAGTCAGATCCTAGCCATCTCGTTGGCCCCGGAACCTCGCTCGCCGGACCCACGTCCAGAGAGAGAGAGACTTTTCGCAAAGTCTCTGTTGGATCGCGAGGTTACTCGCCAAAATCAAAAGTCTATCCCCGACCTTTACCTAGGTGCAACCGACCAAACCACACCCTACTTATAAAAATTGGGGCTTACAGGGCTCACCTCTCACAACCACTGGACATCACTAGTGACCCTGTTTTCCAGTGATATTTTATTTATGGGCAATGATATCAACACAATTCTCCCATCGTCAGGGCTGTTAGAGTGGAGCAATTGCTGTGTTGCTACTGGCGGCTATACCTCGGGGACAGACTTTTGATTTTGGCGAGTATTGTAATGCTTGTAAACCGTACGTTTACGAGATCTGATCCTGTTCGCTGATCACTGTGCCTGTGCACTAGCACAAGTATGCCCCCCTCCCCTCTAGAGAAGCATCATTCTCAGGGAGCGGTGAATAGTTAGCGCACTGGCCCTGTTCTTGGTGTGCGGTGCGGTACCGGTACGGCGCTCGTACGGTGTCAGCGATGACATGATACTTGGAGGTCCCGCAATTCTGACATATATACCGGTATACTCGTTGGTCCCGCGGTTCATTCATACGTACTGTACGTATCATAGGCGCGGCACGTATATACTCGAGTACAAGTAAGGGGGTATGACATTGTACGGTACCTGTAGAGTACTGTACAGTACGGCACGGTGGGAATAATACCCACCACATCACTACCCGACATCCAGACCGCAACCATAGCACAGGGTACGAGTAGAAACAGAGCGGGACGGGACAGAACTGCGCATGGTGCCATACAAATGTTATCACACTAATACTGTAAGTTACCGTTTATGGCACAGTAAAGTAGGATACATAGAAGCCTTCCTCCAACCGGCCGTTAGACTACGGCTTCACCACTGTGCAATTATCACCCTACCCTACCCTACCCACCACAATCCTGGCTCAGAATACATCCGCCCACTCGGCCGAGCGAAAAAAAAAGATCTTTTAGGAAGGAAGGGGGAAAAGGAAGCCCTAGACACACACACTGGTAGCCTCCGATTGGCTCTCGCCTGATGCGAGCGTCCATGGTCCGTCGAGCCTGACACGTTTTTCTTGTCGGGCTGGTTTCGGTTGGTCCTTCTGCCCCGTGGGGTTCCCACGCACGCGCCATGCGAGAATTGTGGGGGAAAAGCGCATCGACCACGGCGACCAACGGGCCTTGCGGGATGGCGTGTTTTTGCTTTGCCATCATTCCTCTCGCGATTTTTTTTTTTGGAGGGTCGGCGGGGTCGGAGAGTCCGAGTCGTTTCTGCCGGTCTGAGAATCGCTGGTTTCCTTCTCTTTTCTCGATGGCAGGATTGTGATGCTTCTGTACTGTACGGTGTAGCGTGCCGATTGGTTGGCGGATCCTCCATGAAACAATCGATTAGCAGGGGATGGTTCGACATGTCTGACCTACCAATCTTCGAGTTACACGCACTTCTGGCAAGGTATCGGTACGATCGTACCGGCCCGTGGTATCCCACACTGCCAATACCAGTATCTGAGTCCCGTACTGCACTGTACCGTACTCAGTACTCGAGTATGATACCGGTACATTTTTCACTCTCACCAAGATTTTCCATTTCGCGGCAAATTTCTCTAGTTGGATGTATCCGATTAAAAATAGAAAAACCACTCATCTCAAGAAAGCGCTGCATCTTGTAGGTTTCATCTTCTCCGAGCTTTGTTACGGTGATTCCCTAATTGGAGATCGGGTTCCGCCATTTCCTTGATCCCGCCTTGAGGCCCTTCGCGCCCCGTGGGTTTTCTCTCCCTTCCCTCTTCTGTTCTTTAACTATCGGACAAACGAGTAAACGATCCGCTCAGATTGCCTTTCGTGATAATTATCGCTGGCGCCTTCTACTCGACTGTATGTGAGTAGGCTACTGCATTTAGCATCAAGCAACCAATCAATCAACCAGCTCGAATATCGATTCACAGCCGAATAGACAAGTTGAAATTTCAGAAGGTATCATGGACTTTCATTACCACCATTACTTTCAAAAAATCCATCATCCGTCATCCACCACAAGGCAAACAAAAGGTCGCTATGCAAACCACTCTCAAAAGACAACAACACACAAGAGGTGAGGGAAAAAAAACACAACCATTAAACGAGGAAAGAAAGGAAAAGAGAAAAAACGGGAAAAGTATCAAGGAAATCTACGAGACCGAGCATTTATCAGGCAATCCGCAGGGACCGCCGGTCTTCTCATCACCCGTATCCCGCTCTTTCCCAGGAACAATTTCCTTTTTAACTGGCTGTTTGGGGGTTATTGCGTCTTTTGTGGTCGTAGCATCAGAGCTACCATGCAGTCACGGAAAGTTGACGCGGCTAACAGTCTTGTAGAAACTTTCACCCTGGACTCGGGCGAGTTGCTTCTCCTTTTCGCTGGGCTGGCGAGATCCGTCACCGCCCTGTGGGATGATTGTCAATAACACGAAGGGGGAGAGGAGAAATTGTGAAACATACAGCAAAGGTACCAGCGCCCCATGGGGAACCACCGCGGACCTCAGAGCCGTCGGCGAGGAGACCAAAAGCGGTCTTGTAGCCCAAAGGAACGAAGATCATTCCATGGTGGACAAAGGTAGACATGGCGTTCAAGGCAGTGACCTCTTGCCCACCACCCTGAGTGCCAGTGGAGACGAAAACGCCGACGTATTTGCCTGTGAGACTATTAGGGGAAACTCGTATTGGGAAAATTAGGAGCAAACACACCATGGAGATCACCCTTGGCCCAGAGACCACCGGTGGTGTCGATGAATGCCTTCCACTGGCCGGGAAAATTACCATAGCGGGTGGGGATACCGAAAAGGAAAGCGTCGAAATCGGGCAACTTGGCAGCGGTGATTTCAGGGTAATCAGGCTTATCGGGGGCGTGCATAGCCTTGAGGACATCGGGGCCCAGAGTCTCTGGGATCCTGTAAGAGCAATGTCAGTGGCAGCTCTAATGTTTATAGAGAGAGCCCCGTCAGAGGGAATAAGCCCGTAAAGACTCAAAGGGGGCAAGGAAAACTCACTGGTAGATTTCGGCTACTCCGCCAGCTTTTTTAATACCCTCAGCCTCCTCTTCAGCGAGCTGACGGATGTGCTGGTACATGGAGTAGATGATGATAGCGACTTTAGGGGGGGCCATTGCTGCTGTTTGTTTGATGCTTGCTGTTTGGGAAGAGTCTTGTGGTGGTGGTGGTGGGGGGGGGAAGATGTGGATGAAGACGCTTGCTAGATGTTAAGTAGACCGTTGTGGGGTGGGAAGGAGAATGGGATGAGAAGGGCAGATTGGAGAGGTCTTATATATGTTCCCGGGACCGGCGTTGGACAGTGTTTGCGGGACCTGTCCTTCTATCCAGGGAATATTGGGCTCGCCCTCACTCAAGTCCACCGGGGGAAAAAGCGTTCGACGCAAGGGTGCTGGGGAGGGTGTGCGAAGTTTCTATCGCGGCCATCTACCCATCCCTTCCACTCGGTTACCCAATATCATTCTAGCACAATAACCTTTCCTTCTGTTCGTGCCTGGCTTCTCCAGCAATGGCGGGCGGGCCCTTGATTACCCACTGCTTAGTGATAGCATTTCTCCCCCATCGGTGTTGGCGTGCTCCAACCTTCCCCATTTGTGGATGTGCTTGCAGGGGGGTTTAATTGTTCCAGATTCGTTACCGGAAGTATGATATCATGAGAGGGAAAGAGGTAAAAAAGGAAAAAAAAGGGGGGGGGAGCTTTTTCACCATTAGTAATTTCTCTCTAATAGTATTCGGGAATAGGCTCATTCGAAGAGCCTCCGCGCGATCCTCTCTCTCGGCCCGTCCAATTCTCCATTTTTGGGGTTTTCTTTTTCCCTCTGGTTTCCCTCTGCTCCTACTACCGGTATCGTAGATGGACTGGACGCCCGAGGCCTTCGCCCCTCAATTACCGTGCATAGGGTGACCCTCCCAGGCACCGGGAGGCACACGCTTGCCAAACCAAGGCATTTTTACCGTGAAATTGACTTCGATTTTCCTTTATCCATGACCTAGGAAGAAAAAAAAGAAAACACTTGCTTGTATTTTTAAGCTGCAATCTGCATCAATGTGCGCGGTGAAAACCTTGGCTGGCTAGCGCTTTGGGTCCATGGGCTCCGGTATTCTTTGTTGTGGCGCGATGGTAATGGTGGATCTAATCATCTCCCAAGGTCCTCAATTGATTACCAGGCTCTGACAAACACTGATGATTGGCAATATTGTCCACCAGAAGGATCTATCAGATTATTAAGCTGTACGAGTACAGTACGCATTGGGAAAAGCAAAATTTGAGACAAAGGCTGTGTTCCTGTACATCGATAACCAATTATCCAGCACGTCGATGCCCCGCCTTCGAGCAGCCAACCCACACAAGAGTTCGTTGATTAACTCTTCCTCTCCACACACACGCATGTCGGATTCCGGTGAAGGGCTCATGCAGATATCTGCCGTATCAAGTTATGGTTATGGCGTTCGAAGGGATGTAATTCCACCCACCGCCAGAGAAAAGTCTCGATCACATAGCATGCCACCGGTCTTCATCCCCCATCCCATCCCGGAACCAACCTGCAGTAGGGGTGACACAAGGGACTACACAAAGAATATCCGGCATGGTAACACGCGCACCAAATCAATGCCTTCCCGCCGCACAGAGGGTTCAACGGGGGGACGACGAGAACCAGTGGATGCCGAACAGGGATCCGGTGTGATAGCAGGTATTCTTATTGCTGTTACCCTACCTTGATGAAATCGCTTCTTCTGCTCGCTAAATACCCCGGTCCGTGGCCCACCAGTCTTCATCGAGGCCCATTTGAGGGCTGCAATCGCGGCCAGGGCAACAGGGATAGCACCGGCACCTGGCCCACCATCCTGTATATACCTGTGCAGTACCATAGCCTTCTCCTCCCCCCTCAGCGCACCGAGTAAAATGATCAGCGCGAGCTCGTAGCGCTCCGATGCGGCAGCTCTAGTCGCGCAGTTAGGCGGACTAAAACTGCCTAGCATCGTACAGCAGAAATAGTACTCGAGTACCAGTACGTACAGCACCGGTATCCCGGATCATCGGGAAAATCAATGTTACAGTGATGATAACAATATCATGCCAGAGCCCAACGGCAAAGAAAAGAAAAGGAACCACCTTATCATTGTGTTGCCACATTTCAGCTCGCCCACCGGTAACATTATCCTTAGACAGCAAGCGAGTTCCCCCCCCTCTGTTTTCAGGATGGAATCAGCCGTGAGAGAGACTTGACGCTCGACTGGCCGTCTGTATGGTTATGGGTCTACCCGATCGTGAGATGATTTTCAGGTGGGGGTATTGGAAATATCGCCGTCACTTGCCGTGGGTAGGCCCCAGCGCCCTCTAGGCTCGCCTGCTGGCATCCCGGCAAGCGAGAATGTAATCGGCAGGGCCGGCATGAACGGCTTTGAGCAACTGTCCATCGTTCCAATTCCTTGTAGCGGCATTGTTTCTGATAGCCTCTTCGGATGCGCATTCTTAAGAGCAACCGAAGTTTGCGGCCGTGTGTTGTTTGGGCTTGTATTTCCAGTAGGACGGTTGTCTGTATGACCTCCACTGGGGAGGACACCTCGCTTCGTCTTCAAAATCGGAGGGGAATCCGTGGTTGTTTGGCTCGATGTCTGAGAATAGTATCCAACTCTCGGCACCGGTCGTATTACGCCATACTTAGAACGGGATCATGGAAGAGAGGGAGATCCATGGCTGAATAGCCCTCTTCTGGAGACCCTGTTGAGATCCGGGCGGTTCTCCATTTGAGCAGTGCCCGCGCAAAAATGGGAGAAAACAGGAGGCCGACCAGCGCGGTTCTCGAGGCTATACCTCCAAGGAATGGTGTCTCGTCTTGGCCAACCCAAGATTTTCTTTTATCATAGCAACCAAGCTCCAATAAATCCTCTGGGACATCTGCCATATCATAATCCAGCAGCTGCTAAGCCCGAAAACCCACCAGCTTCAATCGTCGTGAGAGGGCTCAAGCTATCAAACCAAAAGCTTTCCCCGCATGCCCGAAAGAGCAGTAACAGCCCACGGGGCGTGCGTGCTGTTGTGCCGCTGCATGAGAGTTGCCTTGCTCCCGCTGGAGGCGCGGAATCTCACTCCTCACTTTAGGCTTAACAGAGACCAGAGTCAACGACTATCACTTTGGGACATTTCGTTCCGTAGCAACGGAAAAAACAACAACACAGGACCTGAAGTCTCTTGTACTCGTAACGTTCCGGTGGCCATGCGTAACATGGTGGGGGGAGCGACGACGGCGAACAACACGCCGGAAATTTAGTGGTAAAAGCATCAGATTTGCTAAGGCTGTCACTGTATGATACCTCTCTTCTCCTCTCCTCTGCCATTACGTCATCGCGATCTAACACCCCCCCCGATATCCGGGAGACTTCCCCTTTCTGTGAGTGATAGGCGACGGGTGATATAACAGCCTTGCTCATATGTCAATCTTCCGCTCGGAAACGCAGGGACGAGGGTGCTCATCCTACTCGTGTTTCCTGATACAAGCTGGATGCATGCTGTTTTGTTTACCCTGTCTTTGTTCTGGTCCCACATTTCAATCTGGCTGGTATGGAATATATTTCACCCGGCGGCCCGCATCCATCAATAGTCTCGATTTGCTCGCAGGATGGGGTTGCGCAAGCCCCCTAGTTTGCATGAGAGCAAGCAATGACCCCCGCGGGGAGCTCTCTTGCAGCCAGCATGCGTATAATACCATCTCGATATCTCAGACAGTGTGTAGGAGTAGAGCGACGATCCAGGACGCATTCTTATAAACTTGTCTCCTTATCACTTTCATCCCCCTTTAGCTCTCGTACCCCAAGTTGAGTTCCCTAGCCATCCGAATGACTCCGCACTGGGGGGGGGGGTAAATGTGTGCTGGGTATCCGGATTACGGAAACCAAGCAGTACACACCCTGATATAGTTTAATGTAGCGGGTGTTAAGCTTTCCGTCATGAACGCCTGGAGGCCCGTGGGTATCCGTACTTGTATTCTCATCGTGTATTCGGAATGTGGTTGCTATAAAAGTGCTGGCAAGTATGTCAGAATTATGAAGACATGATGGGTGATGTAGAAAGAGGAGAATGTAGCTGACAATAACAATAATGATCTGATAAGAGTGGTAGCATTGGTGATGATAATCCGAGCAAAGTAATTTCACTGCCTTCAACATAATATAGAGCCAACTTTCTTGTTTTCTTATTTTCTTATTTTCTTATTTCCTCTGCTGATTATTTTATTCCTTTATTCATTTATTTGTTTATTTATTCAGTTATTCAGTTATTTATTTGTTAATTTCTTCTATAGTTGATTCTTTTTATCATTCTGTTATTCATTTCTTCAATCACTCATTTCTGCTTTTCTTTCTTTCTTTCTTTATCTATTTCTTACTTTCTTCTCTCATTCTCCCATTTATTCACATATTTATCCTTTTCTTTCTATCTTTTTCTGTTCATTCTTTTAACTAGTTGCTATAAATTTAAAGCTGTATTACAAAGTGGTAATTATAGATATCTAACTGAAAGGTAGGAGGAAAGAAGATTGGAGTACTTACTAATAGCTGAAATCCTATAAAAGCCAAGGCTGCGGGTACAAGTATATTGGTAGTATTATTATGTTTTATCTCTTAATCTATGAGAGACTAGTCTGTAGATTAAAATGTAGTGCAGGAGCAGAAGCTTGACCTAAACGTAAATAAATTATATAATTAATAGTGGACCCTTCTATCTATACTTGGTTGTAGTGCTAAGCTATAAATTCTTAATAATACCTGATTCCAAATACACAATGAAATTACAAGTACACATTAGCAGAGGTTCTGGAAGTTGGAAACAGTGGGGGTACTGGTATTATGGCAACTTTGAGTGGGGCATAATTGTGCTAGTTGAGCTATGGGAGTGTGGGAGAATGAGAAAATATACCTTTCAATTCGTTATCTTGATAGAGGAGTGATGTTGAAGAAAATTAAATTATCTTTTTTTTTTCAACATATTTTAACACACCTCTCCCCCCATGGTGATACTCCAAGTGTATCTGTTGCAAGTGAGATAAAACTCCTGGTGGGCTTTTTAGTCACAGTATAAATATTTATCCTGCCCCCATATACATAGTAATATAAGTTTTCCTTTCCTCTTCCAACTTCCTCCTGTAGTAGTATTATAACACATTAATGCATTTATTATACTTTGTGAAATCAGATACTTCATACTTGTATATTAAGAATATTGTAACTATATGTATTGGATTACTGACACTGCAATTATTTTAAACTTTCCAACAGATTCTCCTATCTACTTACTTTTCTTATCCATAAAAGAAATCATGGTGAATACCTCTCAGACTTCTGTTCCTGGTAATAACAGTACCGACACTTATTATTTCTTGGCTTACTACCTGTTAAGATGGTACGGTTCCAGAAGACTAGATGTAGGACCACTTTTCTAATGAAAACTGTGACAGTTTGGATGTAATGTTATTTGTAATGCTTTTAGTTAAGCTTTGTAACCTGTACTAGTGATTATTAAAAATACTATTATTATAAATTAATCTCTTTTAAATTAGGTTTTGCTCTTCTTGACAACTAGAAAATAGGTTATGCTAAACTTAAATTCAGGCATTACAAAAAACATTACACCCAAAACTATTATAGTTTTCATTAGAAAAGTGGTCCTACATCTAGTCTTTCGGAACCATAGTAGTTAAGCTTTAGAATAAGTAAGAGAGATTAAGATCAGTTGTAGCTTAGGTAATCGATAGTAGAAATAGTTGGGGGGACTCATAGAAGAACTCTGAGTCTGTTTACTATAAAAAACTGTTAAGTGCTTAAGATAGAAGGATTAAATAGTATTAGCATGAAATTTAGACCATAAAGTTATAAAAAACAATAATATTTATTGAAAAGGTTTTTGAGTATACTTTAAACTTAAATATTATAGTACAATTCATTTATAATTAATAAGGTTAGAATACTAGTAGAAAGCTTCTAATATACAAATAATAAATAAGAAAAAGTCTTAGTTAATAATTCAGCTCTTTTATACTGTAATGGTTTCTTAGATTATATTTAGTAAAGTAGCTTAAATGAGTAGTAGTATGATAGAAGAAATAAAGTAGTACTATTCATACGACTTGGGAAACCTCTAATACCTAATACCAGATTCTATACTTCTTACTAGATAGTATAGATATTTTATCTAGTAATTACTAGGTATTATAAGAATATTTTATAATAGAAAGAAAGAAGATTGTCATTTTAAATAGTTGGATTAAGAATTTAGGTTGATAGCCTAAATCTGCCAGTGATTCAGCTATTTTGATAAATATATTGTAATAGTAAATTTTATTTTCCATATGGTTGTATAAGATAGCTGTAACTTAAATAATTCAATTATATTACTTTTAAGAGCAAGTATATAAAAGATATTTACATATAAGAGGAGGGAATTGTAAAGAAGAAATAGGCTTAAAGGAATAATTAGTACTACTGTATTGATCTTCTAAAGTATCTAAGTATTTTCTTATGAATAGAATATGGTAGGTAATATGATATAAGAATTCTGCTAGTAGTATGACATGTTTATATAGTAGTTATAACTTTTTAAGTTATTAATTAATCAGATGTTATACAATAGTACTTAATCCAAGTTCCTAATTTCAAGTTAACGAAATAGAACTCTTAATTTAATTTATTATCTTAGCAGAAGTATTGTTAAAGAAAGTAATATCAGTTACTTTGAATTTGTATTTCAAACTATTATAAAAATATATTAAAACTAAGGAAATCTTCTGTTTATTTATAGAGAAAAATTGTAGGCTAATCTAAAATAATAAATACATTTGTTCTATTCCAAAATAGTATAGTAAGAATATATAGAAAACTAAATTAATCAAATATTACTATTTTAGCAGGAAAAACCTATTACATAAGTGATTGATAGCTGTATTATATCCAAGATATGATATTGTTAAGAATCCTACCAGGTGCTG